ATTTGTTTTTGTCCTGAACTGGAACAATCTAATTCTTAATTCTGAAAAGATGCTACTCTCAGTCTTTCAGAAGTCTTTGCTTAAATTGTGAGACACAATGTTATACACAGGCACAAAAGTGAAATAATAATAATTTAAAAAATCACTATATAAGTGGTACGTAAACTTATTTCAGCACAGGGTTTTTGTGTTCCTTCAACAGAAGTTTAAGTGGAATTGCCTTGATTTTTACCTTTAAAAACTGCTTAATCTATTAGTTTGAATTACATTCTTCCAGGTACTGCATTACTTATATTTGGGAAACACTAAACAGAAGAGTTCCACATTGGAAGGAGTTTTTAATTCATGCAACTAGATAATCTGGACTAAGATGACTAAGGACACTTAAATAGTGCAACTGTCTTCACAAATCATGGTTGATAGGAACTTCTGAAAATCACTCCTCAAAACAATTGCTTTTACTTTGATTCTATTAACAGAAAAAGGACTTTTTTCCTTGCAATCACGAATCTTCAGTAATGTCACATTACTCTTTAGACTGTTTTATAAGGTTATTTGAGAATACAATTGAAATAAGCAAATTTAACTCAACTAGTGTACTGTGTGCCCTCTTAATGGATCTGATTATGCATTTAATAAGATCAGTGGAGTCTTTTACATTGATTTTGTGGTTAAGAAAACTGGGATTATTTTACATTAAAGTTAAATAAATCTTTCAATCCAAGCTGTTTAGGAATATTTAGGAAGACCGTAAGTGCAAAGATTTTAACAAGGTTGAATCATATTTGCCTGTAAAATAGGTGAAAGGTTTGATGTTAAAGACCTTTCCAACAGAGGAAATAATATTTACCAAAACTATACATTACAAAATACAGGGCACAAGCGTATTCTAAAGTTTAAATATTACATTAACAGTGTCTGACAAAACAAGCGTTCATTTTCCTTCTTTTTCAAAAAATACAATAGATGAGTAAATCAGTGATGATGCAATTCAATATACTTTTAATGACTGGGGTTTTTGCATATATTTTCCAAGGCAAGCACTGTAAAGGTCCATTGTCCTTATCTTTGCAAAAAGAGTATCTAGAGAAATGTGTCTTGCAAAGTAAGGGCCTTCTTAAAAACAGTGTCCAGGTAGTCCCAGAATGTAACCTCTAACTGATACGATATACTTAATATTCACGCTCTCCTTCACAGCTGTGCTGGTAACAGAATAAGGTTGGTCTGTTGCCAAAACTCACCAGCAATTCGAATACGTTATTTCAACAATTTCAGCCAAAAGAGAGAAATTTTACTTACCACTGAAAACTAACTTTAAACTTGCTTTTAAACCATGTAAATCAGTTAAATGACAAGCTTAATTGAGGCCCAAGAAAAATTGCCTGAAATATACTGTTATTTTGAGTACTTTTTTATATTTAGATTAAAAAATTAAATGCCCTCGTAGTACAGTTCTGCTCTTTAAGCTACTCCATAAACATACCTTAATAAACTCAACTTCTCTTCACCATTAATCAGGTCTGTACTAAATTCACCTTGTACCAGTTCAGATGTCAGAAGGAAATCAGATGTACTGCTCACCAAGATATCATTAAAACAGAAGTCTGTTGATACAGAGTAATTTAGGTATGTACATGCTTGCCTTTGCAGCCCTCAGCTGAACGTATGCTTCAGGGCTGTTTCTACTGAAGCTCCATGAACGAAAAAGTGCAATTACAATTTCGCATATTCTTTTTTCAGAAAAATCATGATCCATAAAAACAGACTTTAACATTTTTCCTTCATGTAGATTATCTTTCGGTTTGCTATTTCTGATTTTTTCTCCCCTCTTTGCTGGTTTTTAATGTTATTTCTGTTTTTAAGTATCTGAATCTGTATCAGGACAGGTTTCATACTACATTGACAGAATAATGCAATTGTTCATACTCAACTACTCAGAAAACATGGACTGAAAAAATTAAGTAACAGCAGTTCTTGCTTTCTTATCTTATTCTCCAAGTTGTCTCTTTACTTTTAAGACTTCTGTTTCATTTGTCTCTCCAGTTTCTTACCAGTAAATTTTTACTTTCAGTTTCTTAGCTGCCAGCACACTGTATATGCCAGCAAGAATATATTTTCTTTCAGGGGCGGGGGTGGAGGGAATAAATAAAAAAAATTCATGTCAACAGCCATTCCTTAAATTAATGAAAACATTTATATCGCTGTTATATTAAGTCAGTTACAGGAACTGACAAATTCCAATATAATTTCATACTGCACAGATAAAAAGCATGTTATATTTTTTGCCAAATAGCTGTTTCACTTTCCCTTATTAGGCACTAGGATCTTCCCCATTCAATCTTGTTTGTATTGAGACTTCTTGGGTATTATTCATGGTTCAATTCAAAATTGCGAAGGCGATCTCAAAACTGATTAATCATATTTCTAAAATACTGACATTTGTACAATACAAGCATGGCTGTTTATGTACACAATGTAATTGTATCCATATATTCACAGAAAATGGATTTTGCTTTTTTCCTTTCTCACTACTTTCTTTTCTTGACAGGAAGCCAAAAAACGCAAGATTTTACTCAAATTAGTCATAGGTATTAAAATAAATGGTAAAAATATTGAGGTTTTTCTTTTTTAGCTGCAATATCTATATGAAATACATCTGCAAAACTAGCCTGTGATCTAAAATGCAAAATAAATCAGCTGACTCTGACAAGACAATCAGACACCGAACCCTTTGAATTACCCTATCTGATTTTGAATTACAGTATGGCCAGTCCATTTAGGTTGTTAATACCAAAGACACTGATTTCTTAATATCACTGTAAAAACACAACACATACAAAACAGCACATCAATTGAAGCTTGGTTACAGAACTGTGCTAATATTAATAACGCTGCCAGCCACATCCTAGTCATTTCATCCCACAAGGGTAGGAACTTAATCACCTGAGTATCCCAAACCTGCAGCTGGTACGGTTAACCTGAAATGGAAGGCAAGCATCCCCTGCACTAATTGAAATGGGGGGAAGAGGTGAGGAGGGAGATATCCGGATGGTCTGATTCTGTGATCCCACTCCCAGAGGAAGCGAGCAGCATCTAATATTTTTTACCTCGTCCCAGTTAAAGAGTGCCCTATGTGATAACAGCTGCCTACATTGCTACGAATTCCTAGAAGAAACACTTCTCTCTCATAAAAACAACAATCCATACAATTTCATAAAAAAACCCACCATCAAAATTCATTAGGCACTACAAGGCAACACCAGGCTCCTGAGATCTTTGTCCCGTACTTCCCCTGAGGTGGGGAGAGGGAGAGATACGGACACTGCCAGGGAAAGCCCACGAGACCGATGCTGGGCTTCTGCTGGGGCTGGGAGCAGGTAAAAAGAGTTATCTGCCCACTCTCCAAAAACTGTTTTAGATGTACGGAGTAACAGAGGTCCAGTAAGGCTCCAGTTATAATTCCGAATGAATTCTTTGTTACTGCAGCAGGCTGAAAGCTTTCACTTTTGAAAAAAAAAAAAAGAAGACAGAAGTGGTTCCTGTACAATGTCACCCAAAAACACCGCGTAGGTGTGTTTATTGAGGCAGTCTGGGATGACAGGAATTTGGGGTGCCTCACCTCACCATTTCTTGGGTTGGAGAAGGTTAAATTTAATTAGAAACTATTCTCTAGCAAAACACAGGCCACAACATAGCAATCTTTTCTCCTCTTCAACACTTCCAAAAATTACCTGTACTTTATAGCCAAGATTTGAAAATTCTACATTTATAATATGGAACAAAATATGAAAGAAACTACGCTTACAGAAACTTCACATTGTCAATCTTTGCCGCGGTCTTTCATTAACCAAGGAATTATACCCCTGAGATTTGATCAACCTCCAATTTATTTAAAGCATAAATATTAACTGCATCAAAAGCTTTCATTGTCTCAGACAGAAAATCATCACCATTAAACAAATATTACACTTTTGCAGCTTGCCCTCATGATCATTTTTCCTAAAGAATACAAGAAATAAGAGGACATACCTGTGTAAATACAAACTGATAAAATATTTTTCCGAAGAAAACTGATGTTTCGTTCCATTTAAAGTCTGTACTTCTTGATATATGATAACTATTATGCTTATTATAATTTTTAAATTTTATTCACATAGCTATTGTACTGCTGGTTTAAACAGATTAACAACCATATATATACGTATACATGGAAAATATCATGATACCAAACAGAAGTGTCGTGATGAACTCTCTAAATATACTACTGTGAACAGCCCATCTTAGATTCTTTACATTTTAGAAAGCTGCATAATTTGAGATATTTGGGGCACTAGCTTTCATTGGGAAAGATTGCCTGGTTTTTGATTTTATATAAACAGTGTAGTCTGCCATCTGTGCTGAAATCCTAGGGTTTATGAAGCGTGAAAAAAGCCTGCTGTCCTAGACCCTAACTTTTCTGCTGCAATAGAAAAAACACAGACGTTTAAAAAAAAAAAAATTAAAATCGAATGAACTGGATAATGATGCAGAAGAAGCAAAGACATTGTCTTGTCTCAGCACAACTGGTTCCTCCAATATAAATATAAAAGGTATCTGAAAAGTTAATTTTGCCATCTAACAAAGGTGTTCTTGCATTGTCAAATGATCAATGCCTGACTGTTTTGATCAACAGTAATTTGTAAGGGAATATAGTTGAGCAAGTGGGAAAGGGAAAGTTTATTTCTTTGATCTGTTGAGAAAAGTCATCCTGGAAAGTTTTGGTGCACACATATTCTATTTGACGTGATATAAAGCTTTGGATTGGGTTGGACTAAACATGGAGCCAAGGTTCAGCTATGCTGTAAGGAGGAGAAAGTAGCGGAAACAGTGGCCTATTGTAGCAACCAGCACTGATCAAAGATGTCACTGCAGAAGAGTGGTTTGATATTTGTGGGCACATACAGCAATATACTAATACCCACTATAAATTGAAATAACTACACAGTACTTAAGGAACTTACCAGCCTGCGGATCTCCCTTTCACATTCCCGCTTTATTCTATTAATCTCATCCTGATGGGACTGGTAAGCCGTGCGCAGGTCAGCCGCCTTCATTTTATCCGCCTGCATAATGTTGTTCAAAGCTTCTTCAAGCTGTTTTTTGCCAGATTTCAGCTCCAAGATCTCCTGCTGCAACTTCATCCGTTCACCGTCGAACGCCTTGCGAGCCTCCTCCTTTGCTTCGCTCAGCAGCGCCGTCTTCACTTTGTCAGCTGCCCCATCCCGCAGAACGTTGACTGTTGACTGCAAACGCTGAATTTCTCCGTCCTTAATTTTCACCATTCTTGCCACCTCCTGCTCGTGCTGCCGGATCAGGAGCTCTCTGACGCTCTGAAGTTCCTTCATTTTCTCCTCGTGGAGCTTGGCTTTCAGTTCGGAAACATAGGCAGTGTGCTTGTGCTGCTCCTGCTCCCTTTCTTGCTTAACCTCTTGGATTTTCTCTCTCAATTTACCCACCTGGAACACCAATATAAACATTGATTAACAAGTGCTACTGTGCTGTTAAAAGTCACCAAGGGAGCTTTTTCTTAAACATTATTAAAAACTCATCCTGAATATTCAAAAGCAAAGCCTGCACACCTGACACCTCTCTCTCCAGTAAACAAATAGAGAACCAGGGCAAGAAAAAGACCATGAGTGAGCAGGAATTTGCCATGGGTTGTGCTATTGGAAAGAAGTTCTCATAGTTTTAGGGAATAAAATAAAATCGAGCAGCATCCTAACTAGTTCTCTCATCTCCTCCACCAACTGCCCAAGACTACTTTCATCCATAACTGTGCTCTACAAGCAGATGGAAAACAAAGCAAAGAGAAAAGAGTTTGTGTTTATTTTGGGAAGGAAATGCTAGAAAACTTACCAGTATTTGAAGGACCATACTTCACAGATGCTCATAGTGACTTAGATCTTCACATGCATCCAATTAATTTATTCCCACAACATCCTTCTGTACCTAAGCAGCACTACCACTGTTTTACAGGTGGGATGCTCAGACAGGGATAGATTGATTTACCTAATTTACACACATACTGCCTTTATGATTTCAGTCTCAAATTATTACACCCAAACTCACTACTTGTCTTATGGTACTTCCTGCTAATCAGATGAGAAAGGGTCTTGCTTTGAAGGAACAGAGAGAAGAAATCCTATCAGCAAAGGGGTGTTCTTCTCAAGTAGGAATATGGAGAATAAAAACAAATAAAGAGGAGGGGGAGAAGGAAAAAAAAGACATTGATTTTGGATCTCTTAATTTCTTAGCTACTTTAACGGGAAAGTCCTTATTAAATAAGCCAAAAGAATTTGTCTTCTGAAAAATCAAGTCTACTCAAGGGGCTTCAGACAGGACATCCCAAAACTGAGGCTACTTACCGTCCTCAGACACTTCAGAAAATATAGGCCAGTGACTGTAAGGGTTGTGGGGGAGTAGGGGAAAGGTCTCATAGCCCATTATAGTAATACCTGCTGTGATGAAACCTCATTATAAAAAGATGCTCAGCAGGCTGCATGGAAAGAAATGCTTTTTCCAAGTGGGATTAGATTTACTTTGGAAGGGGAAAAAAAAATAAAAAAGAACAAAAAAAAAAAAGGAGAAAAGCTTCCATATTGAAGTACACCAGAAATGTTATAATGTATTTCATCACGCAAAATCTTTCTACTGTTCCTATCACAGTGACTGCCAAAATATGGGCTCTACACATGTAATTCTCATCTAAAGCAAAGCCAGAGGCAGAGATTTCAAAGACTTGTGTTTTAACCTTGAGTGGCAATACAATCATACATACCAAACATTTAGCATTTAATTGATGCTAAACTAAGCCAGAATTGCAACTTGCCTCAGATTAGTTCAGAAAGTATGGGAGATCTTTATTAATATTCAGACTATCATTTACTACAGAGGCACAATCAAAAAAATTTTTTCATGGTTCCAGATTCTATAGTCAAAACAAAAAATCAAGAGTTAATTAAAAGTAATAGTACTAGTTCAGGAAAGGCCTAGAAACCTTCATTATTTTGTTATAATCTTGTTATTCTCAACAGTAACTTTGAGAATTAACCAACTCAAACTTACCCTGGATTTTTAAAAATGAAATAAAATAAAATAAAATGAAAACAGAAAGGAAACAGGCTGGAGTAGGAGAGGGAGGAAAGGTATCCACATTTTCATGAAAGTAATCTTCTAGATACACTGTGGAATAAACACAGCTGGGAGAGCACTATAACTACACCTGTAGAAAAGGTAACAGCTCTGAATCAGACACCATTAGAAGCAGATTTTATTGCACAGATATTGTTACTCTATTCCAGGATGATTCAGATACATCTTTATGAAGAAAGATGGATTGAATGATTTCTTCAATTTTCTCCTAAAATGGTAAGTCTGGCTATTGGAAATTATCTGCAGGTGGGATGACATTTAGTTCCAAACCTATAGTGGATAGGATTGATTTTCAGTACTTGCATTAGGCTATGCAATTCCATAGGAGAGTCTAGGACTCTCCTGTCTATGTTCATAGCAGGGAGGTTGGACTAGACGATCTTAAAGGTCCCTCCCAACCCCAGCCATTCTATGATGCTATAACAAAGCTAAGCCAATTACCTATTTACTACCACAAGTGGATCAGTTTATTGATAAATTTGAAATAAATCAATACTTGTTATTTACTTAGATCTATTAGTTAATTTCTTACTAACGAGCAAAGAAACTTGGAATGAAACTGCGCAATGAAACCTAGTAATGATGACAGGAAAACAAACTGTATAATGGCATATATAAACAAGGTTAATATACCTTCAAAACTACAGTATTTTAAAATGAGTCACATTGTACACAAAGCATAAACCTGAAAGACGGTTTTCAATACAACACATTAATGAATGTGGTTTCTAAAAGCATTTTTAATATACAAGAAATGGATTCTCAAATTTTGAAGGAGTACTGAGTTACACAAAATGACATACTTGTTCAATTTTTTCATCTTTCATTGAATTGGGGGAAGGCAACATCTACATGCATTGTTGCTGCATGAGAGAACATGTTAAACCACTCAGACTAACAATATTTTCATATACCACTAGTCATTTTACTTACAAAGCTTCAGCAAGAACAATATAAACAAGAATAAGAATCCTTCTAAAAATCCTGGATTTTTACACTGCATCTTAAATGCCTACCACTCCTCATGACCCAGTAAAAAAGATGCATTCTCATTCTCAAGGTCTTTAAAAAGTCTTTCCTTGCTACTGATTCTCGTCAGAGAAGATGGAAAGTTAGATCTGTCCGCTAGGTCTTCCCTGAAAGCCGTAAGCTGTCCTTCCTGTACTCCCTCTGTCCCTCTCTTCCGTACACTACGCAGACCTGTACATGTCTGGCTTCCAGAGAAACTGACTGAATGAAAATAGTAACATGGTATTTTCCCATATGATTAAGTCTCAGTTTCAAAATTAACTTAAACTTTAAAGCAATTTGTCTTTTTTTAATATCCGGCACATAATGAAGAAAGCTGTTCTGTTCATAGGGAGAACATGAAGGAAACAAAGTCAGGCAGGATATCAGGACACCAATAAACACATATTTTCTACCTTTCTGATTAAATCTTTAAAAATCACTGCACATTGGTACAACATTGTTGCCAAAGCAGAAGTTAACTTCTTGGAAAAATAATGCCAAACATCATTGCTTCTTCCCTTTCTTATGTCTGACCAGTGCCTGAAAGAAGGATTTTTCTTTAAAACAATATGATTGTATTATCGTAGAACATTTGCATCTGGTGGTGTTTTCTTTGACAAGGCAGTTTGCGCACTTGAGACAGAAATATAATAGCTCGGTTTTATGAACTAGAGTCAATGACATAAATTTAAAATTATGCATTTCTAAAAGGCAATAACCTGTTAACCCATATATGTTTCTGAGTGCTACTGAACCACTGTCCTAATAAAAATGTTATGATAAGAACTCACTGAGGGCTACTTCAACTTTTTTCTCTTGGATTTAAACCCTGATGCTTTTTATCTGTGGCACAACAGTCAATCACTTGTGGGGTGTAAGTAAAAGAACAAGAAATAAAAAAAAAGTTGGAAAATTATGCATCATACTGCGTGACTAAATATGGTTTCACTGAATTGCAGCCACATCTACAGCAATATCTTGAAAAATGTCTTCCCTGCATTCCAAAGGTCTTATTTTGGAAAGTGTGTAGAAAAGAAACATTTTTTAATACAGACCTCATTTCCAGTGACATGACAAGGGACAAAATAACAAAATCGGTAAAAGTAATAAATTATCTCTTTCCTTCTCTTTTTGCTATGTCCCTGTACACACAAATCCAATGGTAACCAATCGAGGTGAAGCTGGCTCCAGCCACTATAATTTGAAGAATTTTAATAAAATTTAAAAGGAACACATTTTTCTGGGCCTGATGTTGAATATTCCTGAGTACCTTCTGCAAAACACTCTGAAACATCACTTCTCCAGGGCAATATAAGGTTTCATTGCTCCATATTCATGTTCACATGCTCTAAATTATACAGGAAAACACTGGTATCACCAGGTTGTAACCAAATATTCCAAATCAACTTGCTATATGCCTCTGAAATTCCAATTTGGCAGGCAAATCCTGCCCAATTTTTGCTTTTCTCTTTCCTTTATGTTTTTCCAGGCAGCGAAGAAACACTTCCTTTGAGTACACACCTTCCGCCCCATCTTTGGCTTCTTAGCAATCTGCCTTCACCAAGTGCCAGGGTTAAGGTGTTTAACTGAGTATCTGAAGACTAACGAGCTGTTGTCAGCCAGGCCACTGGGACAGCTCTTCTTGAATAGATATTTTGCATCCACATCAACCACATCTAAGCCAAAGGTGTCACCTCCAGTGCAGCAGCTTTGTTTGCCTGATCTTTTCCTGGTTATAAGCCAAAAAGGGTTGATACTGAAATGGGAAAGGAATCAGCTTTGCAGTGTCCAGTCATATCAGAAATCCACTTGGAGGGGGGAACAGGTCTAAAAGATTAATTCAGGAGATCTGTACATCTACTTGGATCAGCTTTAATATGTCTACACTGGTATGGTGTCCGAAGATAAGGAGGAGAAACAACCCCAAAAGCTGAGTCTCTGAAAGGCACTGCTACAGCAGGGAGCTGAGTAGAAACAGCAGCAGTAATCGATGTCCCCCCAAACACACAGTCACACTTTGGTCTCCATATCAGAGACTACTTAGGGCACTGGATGACTTATAACTGCTGGACACTTGAGGTTCCTACTTGGAAGTGACATGGCAAAGTGATATAGCAAGAGAAAATTACAGTGCAATAGGTTAGTGTCAGAACAAAAAGATGAAGATACTCAATGTGAAAGGTTGATAATTATTTGAACTGATGACACATGTCAAGGATAAATTCTCCATCAACTAGATTGTTAGTTATTTATTTAGACCTCTGTGCTAAAATGAAAAAAAATCAACTATTTTAGGGGAAAAACATGCTAAAAATCTGTAGGTTTTAGGACACAGTAACTATTCTGTGGAGTATTAAACTTGCAAAGTAGATCTTTCAAACTTAAGGAAGATAGCGAAAGACTTCTGGGGAACTTGTCACCTCCAATAAAAAGATGAAATCAGGCCTGCAAGTGGTCACATCAGTCCACAGCCTAGGAAATCTTACTTCTTTCCCAATCATAGCATCATATTGCACCTTCTGAATGTAGCTTTTATCACTTCCACTTGTCCAAGAATCTGACCTTCTTTGCCTTGTTTCTTTTTTCAGGCAACCACTTCCCCAAATCTCCTTCTCCTCTACTAAGAGTTTAGAAACGTCAGAAGCAGCAGTCAAACATGACTCCACCGTATCAGACCTTGCTTTGATGGAACTTGTACTCAGTGCTCAGTTACGTGGTTTAAACCCAGCTGGCAACTAAGCACCACTCAGCTCACTCACTCCTCATCACCCTCGGTGGGGTGGGGGAAGAACTGGAAAGGTAAAAAAGGGAAAGAAATTCATGGGTTGGGATAAAGACAGTTTGATAATTAAAAAGAAATATTTTTTTTTTAAATTGTAAGGAAAAAAGAAGAAAAAGAGAGAGAGAGGAAAGATCATTGATTGAGCTCGATAATCTTAAAGGTCTTTTCCAACTGAAAGGATTCTATGATTCTATGAAAATAAAATCCAAGACAGACAAGTGATGCCAATCCCAACAATTGCTCACCACCAACAGACTGATGCCCAGCCAGTCCCTGAGGAGCAGCCCTCCGGCCAACCTCCCCCTCAGTTTTATTGCTGAGCATGACAACATCATATGGTCTGGAATATCCCTTTGGTCAGTTGGGGTCAGCTGTCTCAGCTGTGTCTCCTCCCAAAGTCTTGTGCACTTCCAGCTGACCCACAGACAAGGCAGTGTGAGAAGCAGAAAAGGCCCCAGCTCTGCGTGAGCACTGCTCAATAGTAACGAGAACATCCTTGTGTTATCAACACAATTTTCAGCACAAATTCAAAACACAGCCCCATACTAGCTACTGTGAAGAAATTTAACTCTATCCCAGCTAAAACCAGTACACTTAGTCACCATTTTTTCAGTCCATCCGCCTCTACTGCTTGCTTCGTTTATCTATGATCGTACTTGTCATTCCTTCTCCACAGCAAGTCTCCTGTGTTCACTCTTTATTCTCTTCACTTTCATAAATATTCTCTTCTTGCATGCCCATTCCCAGTAACAAATAATAAAAAAAAACTCTTTAAAAAGAATTAAAAAAAAAAAAAATCAAGGCACCGCATCTACTCCAATTTTTCTTGCCTCAATAATTTCCACTTCTGATGATCTTTTAACCTAAACTTTCAAGATTATGTGACAATATCAAAGGATCACAGAGAATGTGTTTCTATTTGTATCTGAATACATGAAAATTACCTCTTTGCCCTATGCTACATTTGGATCTCCTAGAAACTTCTACAGGCTCCAGTGATTGTATTTTTACTCTGGATTTAAATAGTTTAGATATATAATTTGATAAGATACATTAATTTTAAAGGTATTACTACAGTTCTGAGTGGAATTTTCCTGTAGATCACACTGTAACATCTGACTTTCTTAGAATCTCTTGCACTGTGTTTTTTATTGACCACTTCCAGCAGGATACCATCTGAAAGGTTTAATTACATTATTTTCTTGTTGATTCTTCCAAGTTAATGATAATCATTGCTTAATATCTGTCTATTGATGTCTCACTCCTCTCCAGTAAATGTTTTACCTGGGTTAGAAACTGCATTATCATGTTTAGCATATTCACTCATTTAATAATTTTGAATTCTGATTGAATTAACACCGCCACATTTATTCTTAATAACTTTGCTACTTACTGTCCAATGCTTCACAGATGTCCAGAATTCTCTTGTTTTACTGATTTTGTTAAGTATTGAGAATTTATATTTATATATTAGGCACAGAGAACAGCTGAATTCAGATTCCCTTCAACTGCTGTCAGGAAAAAAACCTATCCATAGGGATGTGCTTCCTTTTAATCCCAGTCAGTAGTGGCAGAAGTAACTATATATGGTTTTACCAATACTTCACCCATTTCCCTGCTCCACGAGGGTTGCCGTATTTCATTCCCAATTACAATACCCTAGTGTCTCCTTACTCTTCAGCACACTCCTTATAGTTCAGTAAGTTAACCAGCTCTTTTCTTATTCCATACATAGCAGATGGGAATAACATTCATTTAAATACATATTCAATATGTCTGAACTCTCAGATCAACAGCTGTATTTAGAGTTCTTCCATACATACTGCCCATAACTCTTTTCCATACAACTTTTTTAGTCCCCAGTAAATAAAGCTGTTTTGACAGTATGATATGCTCTTTTTTTTTTAATATCACATATTGAAAACAGATTTTTTTTTTTCCAATTTACAAGGAGTCACTGTTACACACAGATTCAACATCTGACATCAAAGCTCAAAAAACCCAAAGAAATACGGGAAAAGCATGAGGACTTACAAAAACATTCTATAAAATTGTGAGGTGATACAGTGGCAACTGAGTCAAAACATCTCACTTATCCTAACTCCTAGATGCGTTGCAATCTCAACTCTATAAATGTGCAGTCACAAGCAGAATATCGATATTTAAAAGCAATAGCAGAACTTGGTGAAGATGGAGCAATAGTGACAGCAAACACTGTAACATCTTTCCATCAGGAACGAAATACTACTCGAAGTATTGGAAAACCATCTTCTGATGTTTGCTAACAATTTCAGTAGGAATAGATACCTTTTAATACTTGTTTCTAAATATTCAGGGATCTCAGCATAGGCATTCATTTGATCCACGTTTTCTTGACACTGACTGCCAAGACTATGCTCATTCACTGCAGCTCCCCGTGCTTACTGCACTAGATGTTAAGATTCAGTTAGAGCGAGTCCTATCTACATTCATTTTCAAATAAGTACAGTTTTTGTGCTTTGGTCATCTACTTGTTACTTGATACTCAAATTTTGGATGTCTTCCAACCCAACATTTCCACTAGCAGAGAGAGGGCAGCATGTGAGCCTGTGTTCAGGTCATGCATTTCCTTCTCCAGGCTCTCCATAGATGGCAGCAAACCTATAATCCCAGGAGAAATTTCTTTAAATGGCTCAACAACAAATGAAACAAAGTGAACTGGGAAAACATGCAGGAAGTTTTGAATGTCTCTTGGGTAAAATTTTGTTTCAAAGAAACCAGTATTTTGTAGACAGAAGTATGTTAAGATTAATTTCTATTTCTGATGAGTCTCATAAATTAGAAGGTTCTTCCTCAGATAAATCATTAATATAGGCATATACAGGAGGGACAAAATAGTTTAGGAGAATTAAATTAAATTAATGGGCCCCACAAGAGTTTGTTACCTTTCCTAATACAGTTTATGTCCCACAGGCCACAGAGCTGTCTGTTTAGCAACTTCAATACATTCTCTCTTACCCCTGTGCCAATAATCTAATTTACTTAGAATTCTCTGGGTGCAGTGTTTTTACTTTTCTGATACTAAGTCATAATTTTTGTTGGTTTTGTTACGAATTTTTAAGCTACGGTCTAAAGAGGAAAAATCTCTATGGCTTTAATTTACACATCTTGTAAGTCAAGGCATTCTATATAACTTCTGCACAGACAGAGAGCAGGCTGTTGCCCTCACGGTGGGAAATAAACTACACAGCTTAATTATACTTAAATGATTTAGAGCAAGCACCACAGCAAAGATGTGGGAGAGGCTGAAGACCTTTTTCCCCCCAATCCTCCCAGAAATGCACTCCAACATGCTGCAGAATTTCCTATGACTGCACTGTACATTTGGTAGGATTTCAGAGCACCCTGGCTGTAATCTCCTCTTTCATATTCACCTACACATCACATATGTGAGCCCACTCATTTCTCTGCACACATATGTGCACAATACACAGGTGTGTCTCCTGTAACAACCTCAATACTCCAGAAATATGAAATTCTCAAACTGTAGAAAGATGAACAGGTAACCAAACTGAAGACCAGACTGGACACTGGTAAATTGCAAACTAGTTGTATAAAATGTTCCTACAGCTGTCGTGGTTGTATAGCTACACTTTATTCTTAGTTGAATCAGAGTTAAACTTGATGCTTTTACAGGTAAAGCATCAAACTTGGAAGCAAATCAGGCCTAACTCTTCTTAAGGTTCATGTAATCTTTTTGTAGATTTTTTTA